ACTGAACATGGTGGTGCTGCCATCTAGTGATGCTTCTTTGCCACTGAAACAAATACTTTCAGAGAAAAAGTGAATCTGAGTTTGAATGTAAATCATTGGGTTATGTTTAACATAAAGCAGATGTGTAAACCTTTTGATACGTTTATAGGAAACTTTACATTGTTGTTGCTGTCTCTAGATGTTTTTGTGTTTGTATATGCAGCTTAAGATACTGGTTTGATTCACACCATACTCTAATAGACCTTTAAATAAAAAAATGTGTTAATTAATTTTTGTGTCAAAGTCTTTTACCACCTTTACCTCTGACAGGCCAGACTGTTTCTTTCACAGCAAACAACGACAGAAGGCGTGCTGTGGTCCGCAGAATCATTTCCACTAATTTAAAGGGAAGAATAGGAAAAGTGCAGCAGGTATATTCACAACCACCTGTCATCAGATGGGCTTATTGAGCGCTATAGGGGTATACACCTTTATAGCTTATAATACAAATATTTCCCCCAGAGCATTAATGCAATACTGTGCAAACAAAACCAAATACATGCATTCTTGTACTCAGGAGGGGACATTGACAGAGGATTACTGGAAAAGTACACGATGAAACAGTTTGGCTTTAGGGAATCTTTTTGTTCCTGATTCTATCTGCAAATCTTCGGAAATCCAGAAATTGACATTATTATTCAGATGTTCATTGTCAAATTTCAGACGGGCCTTTCATGAGGCTTCTCCAGCAGGGGGGCCTTCAGGCGCTGCAGGATTTGATCCATTATGGTATGTAGCGTGTTACCAATAGTTTTCTTGGTGACTGTGGTCCCAGCTGCCTTGAGATCATTAACAAGTTCCTCCCGTGTAGTTCCTGGCTGATCCCTCACCTTTCTCATGATCATCAATACCCCACGGGGCCAGATATTGTGTGGAGCCCCAGACCGAGGGCGATTGATGCTCATTTTGTCTGAATAATGGCAGCAACAGTTGTCTCCTTCTCACCAAGCTGCTTTCTGATGGTCTTGTAGCCAATCCCAGCCTTGTGCAGGTCTACAATCTTGTCCCTGAGGTCCTTAGACAGCTCTTTAGTGTTGAGGTTGGCATCTGATTGATTGATTGATTGATTCTGTGGACAGGTGTCTTTTATACAGGTAACAAGTTGATATCAGGAGTAGTTTCTTAAAGGAAAATGACTTATGTAACCGGTCTGTTGGAGCCAGAGTTCTTGCTGGTTGCAAGGGGGATCAAATTCTTATTTCACACAATTAAATGCAAATTAATGTATATCTCTTATATGATGTTCATTTCTGGATATTCTTTTTGATATTCTGTCTCTCATTAGTCAAATAAACCTACCATTGAAATTATAGACTGTTCTTTTCTTTGTGAGTGGGTAAACTTGCAAAATCGGCAAGGGATCAAATACTTATTTCTTCCACTACATGTATATTCTCATGAAGTGACAAACAAATCAGAGAGAGAATACTCAAAGCATTTCATCAGATCAAACACTTCTTCTCTCTATTCAACATGAGCTCATGATTAAAACTGAACCCTTCTTGAATCAGACTGATCAGGCAATAAGCCCTTTCAAGTGTTTGCTGACTTCACATATATCCTGCAACTGAAAACGCCTTTAAGAGGCCCTATTATGCTATTTGGGGTTTTCACTTTCCTGTAGAGTGTGATATAGGTTTGTGTGCATGTAAATGGTCTGCAAAGGCTAAATTCCCTGTGTTCCCTCCAGAGAGTTTCTCTCCCACACATTCCCCCTGCCTGAAACGCCTCCTTTGGACTCCTTTGTTAACTACCATAACATAATGACATCACGATGTAACACTCGCGCTTCTATTGGCTTGCGCTCCGACACTTTAGATTTGATAGACTAAGGGGCATCAGAGCCGACCAGCTAACCAATCAGAGCAGACTGGGCTCTGGTTTCAGACAGAGGGTGAAAATAGGTGCTGCAGCACAGGCAGTATTACCCCTTTCACACCAACGGTGTTTCAGGGCCGGTTCGGTGCTGGTGCTTGAAAAGCACCGGGTTTTCCTGTTCACACCGCAGCGGAGCAGCGTCATAGCTCCGGAATCCGGTTCGTTTCGAGCACCAAAAAGTTGTCCGTCTAGAAGCAAGAACCGCATACGTCACGCTTACGTCGGAGGGGGGCGAGATTAACCTGAGCTAACACTTAAGGCGAGTACGGCAAATAAAAGTTGTAACAAGCAGTAGTGCTGAGCAAAGTGACTAGAACGCAACCACACACTTGTTAAAAAAAACACACTTTATAAAGTCAGGCAACACTAACCAGGCTTCGTGTGATTCTGTTTATTTGTACCTTACTTTGACCATCCGTTCGCTGTTATTGATCATTGTGGAGAGCAGGCAGACGTTTTGTTTGTTATTATAGCAGCTATCGGATGGAATCAATACATGGGCTGCACAGGTTGTCATGTCCGACTATCACAAGTAGAATCATAATGAAAAATACGTCGGTAAAAAGTGCCTGTAGAAAACTGCTTAGCAAGTAGTCAGTTTAGCTTCGGTTGCTATGCTAACATCACCCATGTTATACCAGAGAAACTTTCATAACAGCGTTGTGATGCCAAACAGCGTCAATTCAGACTGACACACATTCACTTAAGGGGAACTGGGGATATGTATCAGCTGCTTGTGTGACAGTCAGACAGTGAATACTTTAGAGCCGTGTGAGCTAACCCGGAGCTAACGGGAGAATACACTCCCGTTGAAGAGCAGCCGGCCAGCACTGCAGCGGTCGGTAAATGCCGCTGAAACACATTAATAAACAATGAACCACGGCACTCTGGAGAAAAGTATAAGGTTGGAGAAGTCGTTATTTAATTTAATCTGGCTTCGTATGATTAAAAGCAACGCAGTCCCCGGCCCGTTGTTGTTGTGAGGTGAGCTCCGGCGTTGGGGAGAAACTCAGCGACGTAAACTGTGACGTCATGACGCAGCAGCGGCAGCACCAGTCGGGCTCTGAGCGGTGTGAAAAGAGCCGGCGCTAAACCGAAGAACCGGTTCTGAACCAGAAAAACTCTAGCACGGAGCTTGAACCGGAGTTGCGTTGGTGTGAAAGGGGCATATGAGAAAAATAAAGAGCTTTTTGAACATTAAAGCATGGAGACATGTCACAGTAGAGACAATAAATACAAATATGAAGCCTGGAAGTTATTAGAATAGGACCCATTATAGACTGGTAGCTGATTTTAACTGAACATGGTGGTGCTGCCATCTAGTGATGCTTCTTTGCCACTGAAACAAATACTTTCAGAGAAAAAGTAATTCTGAGTTTGAATGTAAATCATTGGGTTATGTTTAACATAAACCAGATGTGTAAACCTTTTGATAAGTTTATAGGAAACTTGACATTGTTGTTGCTGTCTCTAGATGTTTTTGTGTTTGTATGCAGCTTAAGATACTTGATTCACACCATACTCTAATAGACCTTTAAATAAAAAAATGTGTTAATTCATTTTTGTGTCAAAGCCACCTTTACCTCTGACAGGCCAGACTGTTTCTTTCACAGCAAACAACGACAGAAGGCGTGCTGTGGTCCGCAGAATAATTTCCCATATTTTAAAGGCAAGAATAGGAAAAGTGCAGCAGGTATATTCACAACCACCTGTCATCAGATGGGCTTATTGAGCGCTATAGGGGTATACACCTTTATAGCTTATAATTAAAACATTTCCCCCAGAGCAGTAATGCAATACTGTGCAAACAAAACAAAATACATGCATTCTTGTACTCAGGAGGGGACATTGACAGAGGATTACTGGAAAAGTACACAGTAAAAGTACTTAGTAGTAGTAGTTTCAGTAGTACTAAGTCCAACAGGATCAATCACACGAAGGCAACAAAAAAGAATTCCCTCATCAAACTTATCAGAAGTGGCTTGATTTTGTTCTCAGCAGGGGACTTTCTCAAAAAATACACAGTAAAAGTAGGCTACTTCAATGTATTGATAGTAGTAGGTTAACTAATACAAAGTCAAACAGTATCAATTTCAACTAATGGTAAAATTGTATTTTTATCATTCATCAAAGATAGCAGAAAAACATGTATTATGTAGCCTATGGAGGGGACTTTGACAGAGGATTACTCACAAAGTAGCCTACACAGTAAAAGTACTTCATTTTATTTCTGGTAGCAGTCGAACTAGTACCGAGTCCAACAGTGCCAGTTTTATTAAGAACTTGTAGTAACAAATATTTGTATCACTCATCAAATGTAGCAGGAAAAAAAAGAGAGCTGATTTGAAAACACAAACTCGAGGCGGCTGAGTTGACCGCAGTCCAGAATCGTTGTATAGTTTACATCTCCTAACAATGTTGTCAATTTTAGACATAGGCTTATTATATTTACAGCCCTTAATAACATTCGTTTCCGGGCTCAATGTGTGTCTTGGCCGTTTTCGTTGTGATCGCTAAATTCACCTTGTTTATAATATTATCACCGTTCCTCTCAGACGCTCTTCCATTTACTTGTTTAATAAAGAAAAACAATAACAAATGGTCCGTAGATTCACGGATTGAGGAGATATTTCGATCGTAAGACAGATCATAGCTCATAAAATGTCCGATAAAGTCGAAACACTGTAAAGTTCTTGAAGTCTGGCTAACGTTGACCCTGCAGTAATATAAATATTATACCGAAGACATGTCATTAGGGAAGACAGGAGGGATTGTGATTGGTTGTTCTCGTCACCTGACAGGCGGTGCACACTGCTGCGTTCCAAAAGTTAAACTACTTTTGACCATGGATGTATAATAAGATATTTATAACTAAGGATAAGTGGCGTATATGATTAATATGAAAATATTATTTTTCCTCGGAAGAAGTGCTCTCGGGCAGCATTACTCTCCTCATATATGAACTTTTGATGTCTAGCCAAAACACTGTGTCAGGCGTGGCAACCATGTTACCTAACCAGGAACGGGGAGTGGTTTAAAGTTGCTATAATCCTATAAATGTGAATATTTCGAAAACATCAACGTCTTCAATCCACTTTTTGGGTAACTATTATTTCCGTTTGTATGATTTATCTCTCACTTTCTGTTTGCTTACTTCAGTTTGTGGTGTCTTTGTAAAACAATTGTGTAGGCTAACATTAACGTAGAATATGTACATCAAGAGTTACTGTTTTATTTTATTTGAGCGTTTTACGCATATAGGTTTAGGCTGGTTAACATTACATTGAGATAGAACCGTGCCAAATGTGTTATTAGGTCACTGTGGGGTTAGATTTGTCTCAATAATATTTATGTTAACATAAAAATAAGTTGTTTGTAAATGTGTGATTTGTAAAAGTAAAACATCTTCCACAAATGCATTCAAAAGACTTGAAAACTCACAAAAGAATGTGCAAATGTGAAACGGATCTGCAAATACGCAAAAATATTTTCACAAATTAAAAAAGGATCTGTGAATAAAGAGAAAAGGATGTAGTCTGTGTCTGTCTCTAATGGAAAGGCGAAGGTTTTCCTGCTGGTTGCTGGTGTATATATATAATGCGTATGGACCAATACATACCGAGTATTTATCGTAAAAATCCAAACGATTCGACTTGTGTGTGTTTTATTTATTGAAACATCTGTCTGTCTGTGTTACTCAAACATTTTGGGATACTTTCCAATATCTGTGAAATTATTGTTCAATACATTCAATACAAAATATGAGGGATCAACTTTTGTTTTTATGAAACAATAATTTCAAAGTTACATTTAAAACACACATTTTAGAATATTAACATTGAAATTATGCAAAAAATATTTTCATTAAAATAATTGGGGACATTTCAATTGTCCTTATTTCATAAAAAAGTGCTGTTTCTTATTTATTTAAAAATAGTTTTTTTTTAATCTTCATCTCACAACTACGTTTCTCTACACAGATACTCCGAAACTTACCCCCCAGTCACAATGGCAGTTTGTGCACCAGTCTATAAAGTAAGTACCACTACTTGATGGAAAAAAGAGGGCATTTATTAATTAGTTAAATGTTGTAAAATTAACCTTACTTTTAAAATTGTAAAATTGCACATTTGTATTGCAACATTTAAATGCAATATTAGATAAGCTGTGTATTCTACCAATTAGCTCAGTAGCCAATATGTTGTAATGCTATTTAACCTTTATAATATGAGCAAGTTTAAATATTGCTATTATTATATTATATATATTTTTTTATTGATTAGATGCTCTTAGTTGATATAGTGTATTTCATAGTGTTTTCAAAAAGGTCCAAATTCTGTCATATTGTTATAATGAGTAGAGGTTTTTTTTAAATGTTTAAATTGTATTACTGTTAACAATAAAAAAATGTGTTTCCCTTGTAACAGGAAGCTGGGGTGGAGTACAGTCCAGAGAGCAAGTAAGAGCTTTTATTTTCTGTTAAGGGGGGGGGGGGGTTAAAACAACAATGGCAAACAACACCTTACTGTTATCTTGTTTCAGTCAATCTTGTAACTATATTGAATATTAACTACGTCACATGTAAAGTAATAATAATAATAATAATACATTTTATTTTTAGGTGCCTTTCATGACACCCAAGGACACCGTACAATTTGTTAAAAAAATAAAGAGAACGCTAATAGGCAACAAAACATGATAAAAACACAAACAGGAAATCATGGAGGAGACAGTCAAGTGGACACAAATGAAACATATAATGGGGAGCACTACAGTGAGTAGGCAGATGGGTTTTTAATTGGGATTTGAATATGGTGATTGTGTCTGACTGTCGGATGTGCGGGGAGCAGAGTCTGGGAGCAGTGCAGCTAAAAGTAACTTCAACATGCTTCCAACTTCACGATTAAAAGCAAAATGTGTCTATAAAAGAAAATGCCAGAACCTATTTATAACCTTAATTTAAAATGACTTACACCTTTTCATTAAGAGACCCTCAAGTGTCTTTGAGAGTTTGGAGTGAAGAATGTGGTTCAAAGAAGATTTGCAATTTTGCTATGCACATATATAAGACCTGAACCACAAAACTTTAACTGCGTCATGAACACCTTCAAGAGGAGAGACAAGATGCACTGGATTGAACACTGACGAGAGACAAGAAGAAGCAGGATAAAGATGGGAACTGTGGATAACAGGAAGAGCAACAGGATCAACATTGGCTGAGTCATTTGGAGGATAAAAAACGGTGTTATAAATAACTTTTTTTTATTACTGGATTATTTAACATATTTGTAAATTAAGTAAGAACAACTCGCTTGTTTACTCTTCATAATGATGTCATTACTTGTACATTGTCAATAGTATGGCATGGTCAATCTGATTTATTTTTAGGAATCACAGCATCTCATAATTTCTGCTTGTGTGGTTTTGGTAGCAGCCACATTCAGGCGTATCATGGATTATAAAGTAGTAAAACTAGAAGGACTGCAGGTAGTTGATTCACACCATGATGACTAAGTGGCTTGTCATTTTTGTCATTTTCTAATTTTGATAACAGAGAAATCAAGTGGCCAAAATGAGTTTCCCCTTTAGGGCGGATGGCTCATCCTTATAGATCACGTAGTATATCTGCGGTTCCTTCGTATCGAATCGAAACAAGAATATTGTGACAGCGTCTAAAAGAGTTTTGAGTAAAGAGCAAGTAACAAATGGACTGATTTCATATTTTCTAGTCTTTGCAACAACTCAAATCGCGTTTTAAACATGTCAGTACTCGCCCATTCAAACACAGTCACCATTACCCTTGACACCAGGAGCAATGTGGGGTTCAGTATCTTGCCTGAGAAAAAATATCAAACATGTTGACCAGAAGGGGCGGAGATCAAACAACCAAACCGTTGAATGATAAAAGACCACTGAGCCACAGACACAAAGGCGGAGCAAACATTGTCTGTGTGTCTCCGGGAGAATGAATCCGAGATGTGTGGAGGAGTATATGAGCCATGACTTTAACCAACTCAAAGTCCCGGTGAAAAAAAGAGACGGACAAGGTCTCAAGATGGCCGATGGTTTGTGTACATCGGTACTGAAAAACAGAATTCAGGACACACAGGCATTGAGCCTCATGGCTGTTGAACATGTACTGAAGCTGTAGCTGAATCAAGAGTCTCTTAGGATCACAATCATGGAAAGACATTTTGGGAGAAATGGACTGGAGCTCTCTGATTAACTTGCAGCCATTCATTGGGAACATTTTTTGTCTTTTCTTCCATTCAGGCCAGCAGGTCTGCAGTTCCCACAGAAAAAAGGGAAAACAGGTAAGATAAGATAGAACTAAAGAGAAATGGTTGTGTAGTTGATTAGACTACACTCTTTTTGCCTCACATATCATAAAAACCGTGATGTAACTTTTTTTCGGCATGTGTTGCAGGTCCAGATTACCTGAAAGAGGTTTTAGATTGTGTGTCCAAAAAGAATAGACACAAGATATTTGAATTTAAAAATACAGCTTGCACCAGATGGAAGATAGGACCCCTGGAAGACACCATTTACAGTGAGAAGCCTGACGTAGTGAATGGGTGGGGGAAATTCTATCTTCCTGAGAAAGTAAGCATGCAGGTTGTAGGTGTAGTGGAGGGGACCTCCTGCCCATCGGACCAGCTCGTTCTAATGACCTGTGAGGACGGAGAGGTGTATGCCTACGATGGAGTGGAGCTACATTGGGTGGCTTCAAACCTGCTGAAGCTACGTCAGAAGGGAATAATCTATCCAGGATCCAAGACATACTACGAAGGGGAGGCCTTCAAAGACATGGTGAGAAGTTATAGTAAAATAGCTGGGAACAAACAGCTTTGTGTACCTGATAGTTGATAACCTGTGGGCACTGACAACTGTTTTTTTTCTATTTTCTTTCGTTTGTAGACCAAGGAGGACTGCGAAGAAGTGCGGAACAGACCTACGGGGAAGAGGCTGGAACAAGAACATCTTAAACTGGTGACAGAAAACAAGGACAGATTTATGGAATATCTCAAAGCCACAGCTGCAATAAAAGGTGAGTATCTTTTTCTCTGCTTCAGGGCAAAGATTATGGTCATGCATTTAGGGTCACTATCATGTTTCTTCTGTATTGAGTGATCTCATAAACCTTAAAGCAAATGCATGTATACCTTCAACATTTTTTTATTCTTTAATTGTATTAATGTAGTTAGTATAACCAGTAGGGGAAGTGTTAGAAGATAAATGGTTTTGGTAGATCTCGACAGGGAAGTGTTACAATTTGTAGACGGTCCCTGCAGATAGAAGTTCTGCATCTCGGTGTGTATCGGATTGTTTTGATAGAAATAAGGTTGAAGCTCCTTTACTACCTTAGTTGGTGGTTAAGAAACAACGTTTGTGTCGTGGGAACGTTTTGTTTGAGGTATTGATCAATGTCTTTCTAACTTAGCCAAAATGCTTCAAGAAGATATTTCGATCGTATGACAGATCATAGCTCATAAAATGTCCTGTAAAGTCGAAACACTGTAAAGATCTTAAAGTCTGGCAAACATTGGCCCTGCAGTAAAATAAATACACTCTTAATATACGGAAGACATGTTATTAGGGAAGACAGGAGGGATTGTGATTGGTTGTTCTCGTCACCTGACAGGCGGTCCACACTGCTGCGTTCCAAAAGTTAAACTACTTTTAACCATGGATGTATAATAAGATATGTATAACTAAGGATACCTTCGTAAGTAGCGTCTATGATTAATATGAACATATTATTTTTCCTTGGAAGAAGTGCTCTCCGGCAAGATTACTCTCCACATATATGAACCTTTTATGTCTAGCCAAAACACTGTGGCTTAACAAAGGTGTGGCAACCTGTTCAAACCAGGAACAGGGATGTTTAAAGTCGCTATAAATGTGAATACAATTCTGAATATAAATTCTCAAAGAGAAAAGGGTGTTGTCTGGGTCTCTCTTTAAAGGAAATGCGAAGGCAAATGTGTTCCTGCTGGTTTCTGGTGTATAGCGTAGGGACAAATACATACCGAGTATTTCTCGCAAAATCCACACGATTCGACTTAATAAAATGATCATGTGTTTTATTTATTGAAACATCTGTCTGTCTTTGTGACTCAAACATTTTGGGATACTTTCCAATATCTGTGAAATTGTTGTTCAATACATAAAGAAATGTGAGGGATCAACTTTTGAATATTTAATATATATATATGTTTTTAGGAAACAATATCTTTAAAGTTACATTTAAAACACACATTTTAGACTATTAACATTGAAATAAATAAACCACAAATATTTTCATTAAAATAATTGGGGAAATTTCAATTGTCCTTATTTCATAAAAAAGTGCTCATTCAGATTTCATGTATTTATTTTAACAACGTTTCTGTACACCAAAATGTTCTCCACAGCGACAATGGAGTTTGATCCAGTTGCGAATAAAGTGAGTACCACATGTTAATGGGAAAAGAAGTATGCATTTATTAATTAGTTAGATGTTGTTAAATGAAACCGACTATTACAATTGTAAATTTGCACATTTATATTGCAACATTAAATGCAATATTAGATAAGCTATACCTTATCAGCTCAGCCAACATTTTGTAATGCTATTTATCCTTTATAATAAATACAAGTTTAAATATAACTATTATTATATTGTTCATTATTGTTTTTTAATAACATTTTTATTGATTAGATTCAATGCTCTCTGTTGATATAGTGTATTATAGTGTTTCCGAAAATTCTGTAATAGTACAACCAGGCCCCCCCGGGACGTCAAAAAACGTACAAAAACTCACTCATTTGTTGTTATTTTCTTTTCACTATCTCTGTAAAGCGACTTTGAGCACCTGTAAAAGCACTAACAAAATAAATCCATTATTATTATTATTATTATTATAATGAGTAAAGGTTTTGATTTAGATATTTTTTACCACTGTTAACAATTTTTCTGTTTTCCTTGTAACAGGAAGCTGGGGGGGAGTGCAGTCCGGAGAGCAAGTAAGAACTTTTATTTTCTGTTAAGGGTGGGGGGGGGGGGTTAAAACAACAATGGCAGACAACACCTTACTTTGGTACGCAGTCTTTCCTGTTATCTTGTTTCAGTCAATCTTGTAACTATGTTGAATATTAACTACGTCACATGTAAAGCAACTTCAACATGCTTCCAACTTCACAATTAAAAGCAAAATGTGTCTATAAAAGAAAATGCCAGAACCTATTTATAACCTTAATTTAAAATGACTTCAACACCTTTTCATTAAGAGACCCTCAAGTGTCTTTGAGAGTTTGGAGTGAAGAATGTGGTTCAAAGAAGATTTGCAATTTTGCTATGCACATATAAGACCTGAACCACAAAACTAACTGCGTCATGAACACCTTCAAGAGGAGAGACAAGATGCACTGGATTGAACACTGACGAGAGACAAGAAGAAGCAGGATAAAGATGGGAACTGTGGATAACAGGAAGAGCAACAGGATCAACATTGGAGTCATTTGGAGGATAAAAAGCTGTGTTATAAATAACATTTAAAAAAAATGTAACTTCATTACTGGATTTTTTTACATATTTGTAAATTAAGTAAGAACAACTCGCTTGTTTACTCTTCATAATGATGTCATTACTTGTACATTGTCAATAGTATGGCATGGTCAATCTGATTTATTTTTAGGAATCACAGCATCTCATCATTTCTGCTTGTGTGGTTTTGGTAGCAGCCACATTCAGGCGTATCATGGATTATAAAGTAGTAAAACTAGAAGGACTGCAGGTAGTTGATTCACACCATGATGACTAAGTGGCTTGTCATGTTCGTCATTTTCTAATGTTGATAACAGAGAAATCAAGTGGCCAAAATGAGTTTCCCCTTTAGGGTGGATGGCTCATCCTTATAGATCACATAGTATATCTGCGGTTCCTTCGTATCAAATCGAAACAAGAATATTGTGACAGCGTCTAAAAGAGTTTTGAGTAAAGAATGTCGTTCAAAGAAAGTCCATTTCCAGATGTTGCCAATCACCTGGATCACAAAACCTCCCCTGTGTCATGAAGACCTGGAAAGATGGAATACTACACTCCCACGCAAGAGCAGGTAACAAATGGACTGATTTCATATCTTTTAGTCTTTGCGACCACTCAAAGTGCGTTTTAAACACATGTCAGCACTCGCCCCTTCAAACAGTCACCATTAACAGGCCACCAGGAGCAATTTGGGGTTCAATATCTTGCCTGAGGAAAAAAATCAAACATGTTGACCTGAGGGGGTGGAGATCAAACCACCAACCCTTTGATTGATTGACAAGACCACTGAGCCACAGACACAAAGGCGGAGCAAACATTGTCTGTGTGTCTCCGGGAAAATGAATCTGAGATGTGTGGAGGAGTATATGAGCCATGACTTTAACCGGCTCGAAGTCCTTGTGAAAAAAGAGACGGACAAGGTCTCAAGATGGCTGATGGTTCGTGTACATCGGTACTGAAAAACAGAATTCAGGACACACAGGCATTGAGCCTCATGGCTGTTGAACATGTACTGAAGCTGTAGCTGAATCAAGAGTCTCTTAGGATCACAATCATGGAAAGTAAAGATATTTTGGGAGAAATGGACTGGAGCTCACTGATTAACTTGCAGCCACTAATTGGGAAACATTTGTTGTCTTCTCTTCCATTCAGGTCATTACATCTGCTGTTTGGGAAAAAAGGGAGAAAAGGTGAGATAAGGTAGAACTAAAGAGAAATGGTTGTGTAGTTGATTAGACTACACTCTTTTTGCCTCACATTTCATAAAAACGGTGATGTAACTTTTGTTCGGCATGTGTTGCAGGTCCATATTTCCTGAAAGAGGTTTTAGATTGTGTGTCCAAAGAGAGACACGAGATATTTGAATTAAAAAAACCAGCTGGCGCCAAATTGAAGATAGGACCCCTGGAAGACACCATTTACAGAGGGAAGCCTGACGTAGTGGATGAGTGGGGAGAATTCTATCTTCCTGAGATAGTAAGCATGCAGGTTGTAGGTGTAGTGGAGGGGACCTCCTGCCCATGGGACCAGCTCGTTCTAATGATCTGTGAGGACGGAAAGCTGTTTGCCTACGATGGAGAGGAGCTACATTTGGTGGCTTCAAACATGAAGCAGGTAGATGAAAAGGGAATACGCTATCCAGGATCCAAGAGATACTACAAAGGGCAGGCCTTCAAAGACAAGGTGAGAAGTTATAGTAAAATAGCTGGGAACAAACAGCTATGTGAACCTGATAGTCGATAACCTGTGGGCACTGACAACAGTTTTTTTACATTTTCTTTTGTGTGTAGACCGAGGAAGACTGGGAAGAAGTGTGGAAGAGCCCTACGGGGAAGAGGCTGGATCAAGAACATCTTGAACTGGTGACAGAAAACAAGGCCACATTTATGGAATGTCTCAAAGCCACAGCTGCAATAAAGGGTGAGTATATTTTTCTCTGCTTCAGGACAAAGATGAAGGTCATGCATTTAGGGTCACTATCATGTTTCTTCTGTATTGAGTGATCTCATTTGCTCATTTGTCTCTCTCTCTCTCCCTTCCTCTTTTTTTCTCACAGCCCGTCCCTCCCAGAAGCTCGTGACAAGCCCCTAGGTCCTTGCTTACTTGTTTATTTATTTAAAGGACAGTGCACATTAATCTACATTGCTGTAAATGAGCCAGTATTAACCAGCAGGCGAATTTTCAACTGTTGTCCTTGGCAAGATGTTAAATAACCACAACAAGACTAGAGAAATAAAAACATAATTAAATAGAATACAACAGACAACAGCAGTACAACAATAAATAGCAGTACAACTGTTACGTTCCCTACTGGGCTAGGGGAACCAGAGGGAAGTAACAACATATGAAATAACCGGGAGAGAGAAAAAAGGAGAGGAAACTGAGCTATAAAGCCACAAAGTGAGGTTTTAATGGATAAAGAAAAAGGGCTCACCAGCCAACTTGCAAAGCAAACCAAAATAAACAATACACGAACAAACTGGAGCACATCTCCTAACACTTCACAAAAACACAGGCCTCACACAGAGACAGAGACATGCTGCACACATGCAGCCAGAGGAGAAGGAGAGAGCGACTGCAGCCTTCCTCAGGTCCTATATGGAGGCCCTGATTGGGGATTGGGAGCACCTGGGGAGAGGCTGCACCTGGGGAGAGGCTGCACCTGGAGAGAGGCTGCACCTGGGGAGAGGCTGCACCTGGGGAGAGGCTGCACCTGGGGAGAGGCTGCACCTGGGGAGAGGCTGCACCTAGATAAATAGGAACAGCAGTACAACAATAAATAGGAACAGACAAACATGCAAACAGATGAAATACTATCATACTATGATACAGTTAAAAGTGTTCACATTTTTGATTGCTTAAAAGCCAGTTCTTATGATAGTGGTTAAATGTATGATAGGAGGTGTTATTCCTTATCTGTATCGGTATTGTGTTCCAAAGTGTTGATGCCCTCACAGAGAAACAATGTTTACCAAAGGAACTGGACCTAAGAGGGACTACACAGTCCCCTCTTAGGGCAGACCTTGTGGTTCTGCTGTTTGAATGTTTCTGCTGTATAAAAAGTGCAGAGTGGTGGGGGTGCCTTGCCGTTTATAATCTTAAAAATGAGACATGCATCAGTGTGTTTTTAAAAGATTTTCCCAGCTGAGCAGGTTATGTTTGTCCAGGATTTTGCAATGGTGGTATAGCTTAGGTTTTCTGTCCAAAACTTTGAGAGCTTGTTTGTGAAGTGATTGTCAGTCGGTGACGTCACTTGTGCCCAAAAATACTTGTGTGTGTGTGTGTGTGTTATTAGGAAAGGGATCAAATCTCTTTCTGAAAGTGTCAATGTTTTAATGACTGTGCAATGATAATGTATATATTCTACTTTAAATCTGTCCATGACAGGGTGGACATATGTTGGATGTGCACCTACATTGTCTGCTTGTTGGGGAAATATTTTTGTGCCTATAACTTTGACCCAGTTTATCAGTTTGTACTGCCCTCGCTGAGCACAGGCCTGCAACCTTGGGCTGCTGCTCTCAGTGTTTTGTCTCCCTGTTCCCGCCTGTTGGCGTCAGCTGATAGAGTTGTTATAGTGCTCCTCCTGCTTTATCTTGTAATGCACAATGTTGATTATTCTCTCAGAACCAGCTAAATAAATGGGTTTGGGGTAGAGATCTTCAGAATTGGTTTGGCAACCGCTGTCACCTCGTGTCTGCAGCACATGTCTTGTGAATTCTCCGGCCGAAGCTCCAAATAAACCATCAGTGTTTGCCATCAAAGTTCCTGCTCTCCCTGTGTCTCTCTGAGTCCTGTCTCCATTGCTTCAGAAGTTTCCATCACAGTGTGTTGATTAATAAAAAGTACAGGACCTTGGGAAACATGCATTTCTAACAGCCTGAGATCTGCATAATACAATTGATGTGAAAGGGAAAATCTTGATTCTAAAAGGTAACATGGGGCCAGAATAGAATATTCCAAAGGGGGGTTCGTTTAGCATTAAACACTTGAAATAACTAAAGGACAAGTTAAAAAAGAAAGTAGAAAGAAAGTGAGGTCATAGAAAACTATTTCTGCTAAAAAGTTAGCAATGATTGAGAGTCAGAAACATTTCAGATGTGTGTATCTCACACTGCACTGTAACTTTAATTAATGTACCTTTGTTATTCATGTTTTATTATCTTTGCTTTTAAATGAGTGTTTTTAAATGCCATTTTATAATATGTTTCTTAATGCTCTTAATGTCTTTCATTTTTGTAAAGCACTTTGAATTGCCTTATGTTGCAAGGTGCTATTTAAATAAACTTGCCTTGCCCCGCCTTTACATAATGCAACCGTTTAGTAGGTAGTTCAAAACACGAGGCAGGACCTCATTCATTTATTTTCGTTCATTTACTCCTGACCTACAATGGTGAGTAGCTGCTTTTAACTGCTTTCCTTTGCTAATATTTGAAATATTTATTTTATTTCAGATTAAATTCTACATTGCTAATTTACTTTCTGTTGTCAGTGAAATGTATAAGTTTTATAATCATGGTTGAATGTGTTGTGTGTTATTTCTCCCTAGAATGCTGAGGCTAAGAGGGCTAAGGCTGAGGCTGAAAAGAAGAGGTGATTACCTGAACCATACACCAATACTGACATCTAATTTAAAATGTGTGATAACAATTTAATACTGACTATATATTATTATAGAGAAGAACGTTTTTTGGAGGTGACAAAGGATTTCAGAAGAAATGCTTTGCTGATTATCCAAAAAATGATGAAGCTGAACGTCTCCAGTGATAATCAAACTAGACAGTTCGTAGATGAGGTATGTATGATGTGGCTTTTATGAACTTTTGAAATTATGTGTTTATTGGGCATAATGCATCTTTCATAGAGCTTTCGAGTTACACACATTGAAAATGTAATCTATTTTTTGACAGATTCTTCACAGCATCTTCTTTTTGGGAAAGATCAACGAACCAACAATTTCACCGGAAAGGATTGTGAATGACAGCGAGATGTACGATAGGATGAAGCTCGACTACCCTCTGCCTTTTGAACGTTATTCCTCTCAAATACCCAGGCGGAGTCCATTCTCATGTCTGCTCGACATGGTAAGATTACAGTTTGTCAATTCTTCTATTTATATAGTTGCTTTTCCCCCTTAAATCATCCTGAAATATAAGAGTGTTATGCACATATTCAAACACGAAGTATGACATATTTAATTACTGTACTTGTAGGGATTACAGCAGCTTGATAACATTTCTAAATTATTTTCAGATTGTTTTCCTGGAAGGACGAGAGAACGAAAATGAAATAAAACAAAAGCTTCAAGAGATCATCAGAGATCTCAAACTTCATAAGGGGGCTCCTCTGGTCTCCTCCACCATCTGCGTCTCTCAGAAGAACCCAAACTCAGCCAGGTACTACGGGGTCTCCATGTCCACTTCTGGCAAGGTTTCTAGGGAAATCATGATTGCTGCGTCTTGTCTTCCTGATAACTGGGACAGTCATGTTGCTGGTGCAGTGATGAGTTTCAATCAAGATATGAACAAGAAGCCATATTTTGATGGTACCTTCAAACTGCCTGAGCATGTAACGTGCAAGGCGTATAGCCTCCACGGGGAAGGAGCACCAATGCAACCTTGCAAATCATGTGTGGAGTTGTTTGGTTTGGAAGGAAACGGCACGACGGGGTATGCCCATGGCAACTGTGCTGAGGTTGAAAGTGTGAGCAACTTGTTTAAAAATGATGCAGGAGTTAAGGAGCTGTGCACACCTGAACACAGGAGAAAGGCGGAGGAAAGTGTCAGGGAAGATCTCAAGATTTTGCTGAAAACATCTAAATTAACAGGTGATTATCACTTCTACACCCCCTCAGAGTAAATGAAGGGGGGAAATATTGGACATTAAATATTGATAAGTCTATTTAGCATGGTCTTTTAATATTTAGTGACATGACAGATATCTTATTCACAAATACTTAACCTTCAAACAAATTATCTCATTTGAATCCTCTTGTGTAATTCCTGTTCTTCAATCAAATACATCATGCTTTATCTTTGCTACTTGTTATGTGTAACAGTAAATATATAAATGCAAATGTTTGTCAACTGTCTGAATGAAGCATGCAGACAATGATGTGTTGATCATGTTGTTAACAATAAATTCTAATAACGTAAACTAAGTTTCATACATTGTTTGGTTTTTTTCTCCTGCCACTTCAAGTGATTCTTTGCTAGAGAATAATAAGTACTCCAATATCATCTCATCTATCCTTATTGTTATCTATGGTCAAGGTCAAAATCATACGAGACATCAAGTTGGAAACACTGTTTTTTTTGTTTTTTTTAAGTCTGACCATGCGTTGGGTCTTAAAGTCATTGACAACATATTTGAAGATATCTCAAGACTTGTTGAAAGTTGAAAAGTAGCCTATCCATAATGTTTAAAATGTGTTCAGCTTGCCAGTCTCAAACAATACAAATGTTGCTAGCCCTTAACTTCCTCTTTTCACTTGTTGCATGCCTGGACAGTTTCCAAATAACTGAAGGGACATTTCTAATGTGGGACAGAAGAAAGCATTTATTTGATTCTCAAAACAGTTCATTGGGTTTACTTTGACTTTTTCCCATGAATACAGAAAAAGTAGAGACCATCAATTGTCATCCTGAAACATGTTTCTCCACTAAAGGTTAAAAATATACTTTGACAACATTATGTGTTTAATTTTGGGGTAAAACGACGGAAACCTGCTTAGTGCAAGTATGCAGTTTGACCAACTATTAAAGGACAGTCCTCCGATTTAGCCTAGACAATCTTATTACCTTAAAAGGTATATCTGAAGTTATTGTGTTTGAATCCAGAGAAACACATCAATTGCCTCCTGGTCAAACCAATCTTTAAAATCTCCTTCAAACTCTTGTGAGGCTTTTTTCTGCTGAGGAGAACAACTCAAAGTTATCGATATTTCTCTGTAGATTCATGAGCATTACACATAGTCATTAGATCCAATATGTTTATGGGATTATACTTTAAAGGTTTTTACACAAATTAGATACTGTTTTAGCAAAAGTTGACACTTTACTCACTTTATATGAAACATGACCTTATTGTTATCACAAAGTTTTGACAGGTTATTGACTAAAGGTTATAAGCACACTTATCACTATCACATTGAAAATAAGAATTAGGAAACTTCAATCCAAATCATTAATACTATAGTCAAAGTTTAGTCACGTTTTGTTTTAGTTATAGCTAAACCACACTTTCTCATTTTAATTTTGAATTTTCTCATAAAGGTATATTCAGTAGGAAGTCGTAAACATATCTGCTGGTTAAGCTGACTGTGTTACAGAATGGTGAACATGGAAACCAGTGGTAAATCAAGATAAAACATAAATACAAATGATTAGACAAAGATGTTTGGAGATATATTCTGATGTCTCTATCTTTGGTTTAACAGTATAACTTCACTTCTTAGCTTGTGCACAGTCAGCTCTGTAAGTATCATCAAAAAGTCCAAGAGAGCAGCACATGTAATGCTCCTTTGGAGGAGGCCAGACTTTGATTGTTGTGTGAACTCTGTGAAATTGAGAATGAAGTTCACTTTATCACATTTTTCGATAAAGTCAACGTCATAATGAATGATGTTTGACCACTGCAACAGTATTTCTGATGTCTTGTAACCGACATTGGTGTATTACACAACACGTTCTTCAATTCAGTGGGCCTCAGTTGATGCCTCTGTTCCGCATCTGATCTGAATCTATTTTTATCGGATTTTATCACGAAAGCTTCGGAGAGAGGGCCCTATAGTTGACGCTCATGTTTTCGCTGTTTCCTCTTCTATTTGCATTGACACATCTTTTTCCATGCATCTTTTGCATTCATAAAATCTCCCTGCACGTCACCTTGAAAAACAACAAACACTCCCTGTCAGATGTAACAAACTGGTCGTGAACAACAACGCAATGCAAATGAAGTGTAAAAGGCAGAAAGAGAAGCATATGTGTTAAGGGAAATGTTTACATATGTCCTCAGTTATTATATGTATAGAGAGATGTCTATTCTGTACTGTAGGGATGTAATATTGTTATTGTACCCAGGGGTTAAATTGGGATTTGATATGTGGGGGGGCTCTGTGTGGAGGTGCGAGAGGGGGGCGGAGGTCGAGGATCTCATTATTTGACCTTAAAGGATATACACTGTGGCCCTAAAGCAACTGCTCCATTATCTGTATCAAATGCACACATTGATGCCACCAAATGTCACAATAAAAATAGAAAGTACTACAAATAAACTGGAATTCATTTACATCTTAAATTATTAATATATATACACAAAAAAAGGTTTACAAATATCCAACCTTCAAATTGCTTTTTTAAATCAACACTGCTCTGCACACTTGCTAAAGAACATTTCTGTGAAAATCTCAATTCATTTGTAGGGCTGCGTGAGTATGGCCAATAGTATGGGAGTAAATCTCACTGTAAACTATTTAATCATCACCAAATTCTGTGTTATTATGACCGATCATAACTCAGCTTTATGCAGACATACATTTAGCATGGTGTACAGGGCCGGTTTTTGGCATAGGCGGTCGCCTAGGGTGCCAGATCTGGGGGGGAAAACATTTTTTTTGACTGTTTGACTGCATTCATCCTAATTTTCAGCCTTGATGTAAAAACATTCATAATTAAGTAAATGTAATACCCTTTTCACCCCGGTTACACTTTTCATTTGCCCTGTACGATGGGCGCTGTAAGTGATGAAAGTGGGGGGTGTTGGCTTATCAGGCGTCCGCAGCTCACAGCCAACGTGGGCGTGGGAGCGAGCGAGAGAGATACATGCAATTTATGTAAACACATATTTCCAAGACACTCCTTTATAATTATTAGGATAAACAGGTTTGAAATCATTTCAATGTATACTATAGGACAGTAAACCAAAAATATAATTTAAAACTTGAGAGATGCAAAAATATGCATAAATAAATGTTAACTAGGTAAAATAAGATATGAATGAACAACAAAAATAAAATAAGTTACATTTATTTGTTATTGGCTATGGTAGGTTATTGGTTATGTTCACATATTTGGGTATTAAAATGTAAACCGATCTTTTTCATATGGGTGTTTTAGAGTTGTACCCCCTAGATCAGGTCTCTAGTAATTGTGTGCTCAAAGTGCACCAGATTGAAGCATTTTACTTTAAATGTTCAAACATTTCTTCCCGGTGGGGCATACCCCCGGACCCCCCTAGAGGATGTGACGTCCACATCCCAATTAAAACATGTTCATACAATACTGAATACATTTGAAGCCTTTTTGACGTATATTACCTATGTCAATAAGTTTCTGTTTTTGTAGTGTATTGGTCTTTTGTAGAGATTTTTCATTTATTCTTTATATATTCTATTGTGTATTCCTTGGATACTTTTATCTTTTCTACTGTACGATTGAAGTAAATGTGGGAAGCGTTTAACAACAGCCATTTACTTCAAAGATTTTTCTCAATGTTATTCTTATTTTTGTTAATCCTGGAAGAATGCCAGAAAAAAAGACATTCTCTTCAAGAATAAAAAAAACATGACATTAGTAATTATAATAGTAATTGTGTAATTGTGTTAAAAGTTGTTAGGTTAAGTCAGGGCTGGTTTTTGGCATAGGCGACATAGGCGGTCGCCTAGGGCGCCAGATCTGGGGGGAGGGGGGGGGGGGGGGGGGGGGGGGGGCGCTGCGCTGGCAGCTCTGGGAGGGAAAAAAACATTTTTGACTGTTTGCGCTCATCCTAATTTTCGGCCTTGATGTAACAACATTCATAATTAAGTAAATGTAACACCCTTTGCACCCCGGTTACACTTTTCATTTGCCCTGCACGATGGGAGCTGTAAGTGATGAAAGTGGGGGGTGTTGGCTTATCAGGCGCCCGCAGCTCACAGCCAAAGTGGGCGTGGGAGCGAGCAAGAGAGATAAATACAAATTATGTAAACAAATATTTCCAAGACACTCCTTTATAATTATTAGGATAAACAGGTTTGAAATCATTCCAATGTATACTATAGAACAGTAAACGTGCTCCGTGTTACAAGACGGGTCGGGGGTTTGGCGGTACCGCTGCAGACTCTCTGCACACACACACACACACACACACACACACACACACACACACACAACACACACACACACACCAACACACACACAACACACACACACACACACACACACACACACACACACACACACACACACACACACACACACACACACACACACACACACACACACACACATTGGTTGACAGCCAAACGATGAGTGACAAGTACTGTATGACTGGCCGTCACAGATAACCCCTATCGTAAATTCCTTCCATCATCCTCTCTTCCTATAGTGTCATAAAACCCCCTTCCAAAGACATCTGTTTATCACACATTTCCATGACATCCCCAGGATACAGCTGTTACATTTCATTAGGATTGCACTGTATTAAGCTTTAATACCATCATTTTCATAACAATACCTTATTATGGCAGTCATAACATAATGCAACCGTATAAGGCGTGGTACAGTAGTTCAAAACATGAGGCAGGGCTTAATTCATTTATTTCCATTCATTTACTCCTGACCTACAAGTAGCTGCTTTTAACTGCTTTCCTTTGCTAATATTTGAAGTATTTCTGAATAAATTATACATTGCTAATTTACTTTCTGTTGTCAGTAAAATGTGTAAGTGTTATAATCATGGTTTAATGTGTCGTGTGTTATTTCTCACCAGGCTGATGAGGCTGAGGCTGAGGCGGCTAAGGCTAAAAAACAGAGGTGAGTCAGCTGATTACCTGAACATACACTAATACTGACGTGTCATTTAAAATGATTGAAAACAACTTAACACTGACTATATATTATTATAGACAAGAAGAATATCTTAGCCACCCTTTCAGAAGAAATGCTTTTCTGATTATCCAAAAAATGGTAGAGCTGAACCGCTCCAGTGAAAAGAAAAAGAAAAAGTTAGTAGATGAGGTATGTATGATGTGATAACTTTTGAAATTAGGTGTTTTTTGGACATAATACATCCTTCATAGAGCTTTACAGTTACACACATTGAAAATGGCATCTCTTTTTTTAAAGGTTCTTCACAGCATCTTCTTTTTGGGAAGGATCAACAAACCACCATTTTCACCGGAAGATATTGTGAATGATAAGTGGATGTATAAGAAGTTGAAGCGCCGCTACCCTCAGCCTTTTAAACATTATTCCTCTCAACTACCCAGGAGGAGTCCATTCTCATGTGTGCTCGACATGGTAAGATTACAGTTGGTCAATTATTCTATTTATATAGTTGCTTTTCCCCCTAAAATCATCCTGAAATATTTGAGTTTTATGCACATATTCAAACATGAAGTATGACGTAGCAAGTTACAGCAGCTTAATAACATTTGTGATTGCTTTCAGATTGTTTTCCTGGAAGGACAAGAGAAAGAAGATGAAATAAGAGAGAGGCTTCAAGAGATCAAAACCATCTGGTCTCCTACACCATCTGTGTCTCTCAGAACATGAACAACCAAAACTCAGTCTGCAGGTACTACGGGGTCTCCATGTCCAGAATTTCTGATTTACACCGTATCATGATTTCTGCGTCCTGTCTTGAATACTGGGACAGGTATGTTGCTGGTGCAGTGATGACCTACCATCCAAATGATACGGAACATTTTAATGGAACCATTACACTTCCAGACCAGAGCATGTCCGTTGCGAGACGTTTCAACTTTTCAAGCGGGAGAAAGAGGAAATGAAACCTTGCATATCATGTAAGAATTTGTTTGGTTTGATAAGAGATACATATACAGATAAACCGTCTCCCTATGGCAACTGTGCAGAGGTTGAAAGTGTGAGCAACTTGTTTAAAAATGATGCAGAAGTTAGGGAGCAAGCACGACCATCTGAAAAGAACAGGGATAAGGCGGAGAAAAGTGTCAGGGAAGATCTCACGAATTGGCTCAAAACATGTGACATAAAAGGTCACATAAAATTCTACCCTACACGCAGATCACGCAGATCACGCAGATCACGCTGATCACGCTGATCACGCTGATCACGCAGATCACTTGCAAGTCTGCAAGTTGGCCAGGGGCGGCCCTGAATTCTACATCCCCTAAAAGTTGATAAAGGGGGAAAATATTGGACATTAAAGATTGATAAGTCTAATTAGCATAGTCTTTTATTATTTAGTGAGCAGACACATCTCTTGTGATATTATTCACAAATACTTAAACTTCAAACAAATCATCTCATTTAGATCCTCTTATGAAATTCCTGTTCTTCAATCAAATATGTTGTGGTGACTATTGCCACTCAATATCACCTGGGATTGGCTAAACTGGGTAAACTAATTGGACGCTTGCAATTTCCATGTACGAAGACGTTTTTAGCTTTCAATATCTTTTATTTGCAAAGAAAAACAGTGTGTTCACAGACACGGTCAAAAAACTATTGCTCTCCCAGTCACGATCAAACACACCTGTGCCAGGAGATCAGTTATAAGTGTTGTTGCCCCATTACGCCGTCTATAGTGTTCAAAACAACAAAATCATATAAACCATTCTAATGGGTGCAACATGTCATTCTTTATCTTTGCTACTTGATAGGTGTAACAGTGAATTTATAAATGCAAATGTTTGTCAACTGTTTGGATGAAGCATGCAGACAATGATGTATTGATCATGTTATTAATAATTCAATAAAAATAATGTAAACTAAGGTTCATATTTGTTTGTTTTCTTTCCATTGCAACTTCAATCTTATTACCTTAAAAGGTATATCTGAAGTTATTGTGTTTGAATCCAGAGAAACACATCAATTGCCTCCTGGTCAAACCAATCTTTAAAATCTCATTCAAACTCTTGTGAGGCTTTTTTCTGCTGAGGAGAACAACTCAAAGTTATCGATATTTCTCTGTAGATTCATGAGCATTACACAAAGTCAGTTGATCCAAAAATGATGTGTATGGGATTATAGCTACTTTAAAGGGTTTTACACAAATGAGATACTGTTTTAGCAAAAGTTGACACTTTACTCACTTTATATGAAACATGACCTTATTGTTATCACAACGTTTTGACAGGTTATTGACTAAAAGTTATAAGCACACTTATCACTATCACATTGAAAATAAGAATTAGGAAACTTCAATCCTAATCATTAATACTATAGTCAAAGTTTAGTCACATTTGTTTTGGTTATAGCTAAACCATACTTTCTCATTTTAATTTTGTATTTTCTCATAAAGGTATATTCAGTAGGAAGTCGTAAACATATCTGCTGGTTAAGCTGACTGTGTTACAGAATGTGAACATGGAAACCAGTGGTAAATCAAGATAAAACATAAATACAAATGATTAGACAAAGATGTTTGGAGATATATTCTGATGTCTCTATCTTTGGTTTAACAGTATAACTTCACTTCTTAGCTTGTGCACAGTCAGCTCTGTAAGTATCATCAAAAAGTCCAAGAGAGCAGCACATGTAACGCTCCTTTGGAGGAGGCCAGACTTTGTTTGTTGTGTGAACTCTGTGACATTGAGAATGACGTTCACTTTATCACATTTTTAGAATTTTTTTATAAGGACTTATGAGCTACTTTTAAATTAAATGAACTCCGTTTATGTTCAATTATTTCAGCTGGATCACTACGAAAAAGTTTGGCTTTAGGGAATCTTTTTGTTCCTGATTCTATCTGCAAATCTTCGGAAATCCAGAAATTGACATTATTATTCAGATGTTCATTGTCAAATTTCAGACGGGCCTTTCATGAGCCTTCTCCAGCAGGGGGGCCTTCAGGCGCTGCAGGATTTGATCCATTATGGTGTAGTGTGTTACCAATAGTTTTGTCCTCTCACGTGGAACATTTACAAAAAGGGAAGATGAAATGTGAGGGACACAATATAAAGGGGAAGTCCCCACAAAAATAATTCTCTGAGCACAGCGACCACACTTCAGAGGCTCCGCCCACTGATCTCCGACCTTGTCAGGCAAGGTATTGAACATTCAATCAATGAAGAACACAGAATGACTAAATATAAAACACAGAAGTTGTGTGATTATACTAAATGATTTACAAATAAACCCCACTGCATATTTACAACCGTTACACATATACACAACGGAGCCGTAATGTTTTCATTCATTGTAAAGCAATTGTGTTGAAATGTGCTATATAAATAAAAAGTAAGATAAGTGGTTAAAACACGCTGGTATAGCAGATGTAAGAATGAAAAAAGCACAGTGTGTTACAAAGTGAGTGACAACAAATCTGAACAACCAAAACTCAGTCTGTAGGTACTACGGGGTCTCCATGTCCAAAATGGGGTCTGAATTACGCCGTATCATGATTTCTGCATCCTGTCTTGAACACTGGCACAGTTATGTTGCTGGTGCAGTGATGACCTACCATCCAAATGATACGAAACATACGGGTTTTGATGGAGTCATCGGACTTCCAGAGCAGGCCACTTGCGAGACGTTTAACCTTTTCAGGGGGGAGAAAGAGGAAATGAAACCTTGCACATCATGTAAGAATTTGTTTGGTTTGATAAGAGATACATATACAGCTAAAACGTTTCCCTATGGCAACTGTGCTGAGGTTGAAAGTGTGAGCAACTTGTTTAAAAATGATACAGAAGTTAGGGAGCAAGCACGACCAAATCCTGAGAAGTTCAGATGAAAACAGGAAGATGGCTGCAGAGAGGGTCAGACTCAGGACATATCTCAGGGAATGTTTGCCCGAAGGATTTACACGGGATATTCAATTCTACAACCCACAGTTGTAGAATTGATTTGATTGAGTTGATGATAAGAAAAGGGAAAAGATTGAATATATTGATAGGTATAATTGTTATGGTCCTTTTTCATTTAGTGACCAGACAGATCTCTTTTGATATTAGTCACAAGAACTTTAACTTACAAATGATCTCACTTGAATCCTCTGTGTTGTGAATTTATTTATGTGGAAATCAAATACATCATGCTTTATATTTGCTACTTGTTATGTGTAACAGTAAATATATAAATGCAAATATTTGTCAACTGTCTGAATGAAGCATGCAGGCAATGATGTATTGATCATGTTGTTAACAATACATTCTAATAACGTAAACTAAGTTTCATACATTGTTTGGTTTTTTTCTCCTGCCACTTCAAGTGATTCTTTGCTAGAGAATAATAAGTACTCCAATATCATCTCATCTATCCTTATTGTTATCTATGGTCATTGGGTCTTGAAGTCATTGACAAAATATTTGAAGATATCTCAAGACTTGAGATTCTCAGGTGAAGCTTATCCATAATGTACAAAATGTGTTCAGCTTGCCAGTCTCAAACAATACAAATGTTGCTAGCCCTTAAAACCTGTTTCACGCCTTCCCCCCGGTACCGGGCGGATAAACGCGTCATTTGCAGGAAACAACGTCTAAGGAATCTTAATATTGAATAAAACTATGAATGTGTTATATCCATGTAACGGGAAGAAACTCAGCTAACTGATCTTTTTAATTTTTTTTTTCAAAAAAACCCCACAATGCTAGCACTCAGCCTCTGAATTAGCCTCGATCGAAAAAACGGGACCGACAAAGACACATAAACTCACTCAGAACTCCCTTATTACTTATCCTAGATGCACAACCAAACACTATTTTTTGGTGTCCTGGAGACACTGAATCTAACGGTGCCCACCTCAACACTCAGTGATAAACATTCGCGACGCTATCAACGAAAGCGTACATCATCACATGTGGAGCTAAGAAGCTAAACACGTAAATATATCTTACCTTGGTCAAAAGTGGTCTTCAATGGCATTAAAACGATAAAAAAACGATGCTGCAGTTAATCCATAGGTTCATCCTATGTGTCTGTGCCTTCTTTGAAATTATTTCTGATAATCCATAAGCAATACAACTCAGGGTTGCCAACTCTCACTAGTGATGGGAATTCCGGCTCTTCTTGGTGAGCCGGATCATTTGGCTCGGCTCACCAAGAAGAGCCGGCTCTTTCGGCTCCCAAACGGCTCTTCAGTTTACCACATATTATACCTTTTATAATTCAATCAAATGTAGCCCTTTTTTGACTAATGATTTATATGTGTACACATATCACTTAAATTATTCAATACATCCTTGGTACTGAAGTATTCAAAAGTAAAAATGACATGTTTAATATCAATTATTTGCTGTGGCCAATTGTTTTCATTGCATTTACAGACCCTTGTATCTCTCTGATACCACCCAATGAATGCACAGACTTGCTTGTAGAACCACGCTACACAAAGCAGATAGCAACACCTATAAAAACTTAAGCATAGACATTTAAAAAAAGGGGCTACTGTATCGACATTTTAAAATTATATTTAAAGAAAAGGCCCTGACAAAACAGCAGGGCTCTATTTCAGTATTAACTATAGAAAAAAAGACAGCAACAGCTGACATCAAATCTTTGCCGAGCCCAAGGATAATCATAAATAAATAACATAGTGAAAATAAATATATTGCAATGCTCAGTACAGCAGCATCCAACCGTCTCTAATCATAAAAAAACATAATACAAATAAATGTATTGCAATGCTCTAAACAGCAGCATCCAACAGTCTCTAATCCTTGGATATTACATGCCACTGCATGCATGCACGGAGCAGCTGTAGCGCGGAGATCATCATATCATTCTGTATTACTTAACAAAAAATAACAAAAACAAAAAAACGGCTCGTTCGCGGGCGCGAGCCGGCTCCCGTCGTTCACTTAAAAGAGCCGGCTCAAAGAGCCGGCTCGTTCGCGACCGACACATCACTAATACCCCTTTCACACCAACGGTGTTTCAGGGCCGGTTCGGTGCTGGTGCTTGAAAAGCACCGGGTTTTCCTGTTCACACCGCAGCGGAGCAGCGTCATAGCTCCGGAATCCGGTTCGTTTCGAGCACCAAAAAGTTGTCCGTCTAGAAGCAAGAACCGCATACGTCACGCTTACGTCGGAGGGGGGCGAGATTAACCTGAGCTAACACTTAAGGCGAGTACGGCAAATAAAAGTTGTAACAAGCAGTAGTGCTGAGCAAAGTGACTAGAACGCAACCACACACTTGTTAAAAAAAACACACTTTATAAAGTCAGGCAACACTAACCAGGCTTCGTGTGATTCTGTTTATTTGTACCTTACTTTGACCATCCGTTCTCTGTTATTGATCATTGTGGAGAGCAGGCAGACGTTTTGTGTGTTATTATAGCAGCTATCGGATGGAATCAATACATGGGCTGCACAGGTTGTCATGTCCGACTATCACAAGTAGAATCATAATGAAAAATACGTCGGTAAAAAGTGCCTGTAGAATACTGCTTAGCAAGTAGTCAGTTTAGCTTCGGTTGCTATGCTAACATCACCCATGTTATACCAGAGAAACTTTCATAACAGCGTTGTGATGCCAAACAGCGTCAATTCAGACTGACACCAAACAGCGTCAATTCAGACTGACACACATTCACTTAAGGGGAACTGGGGATATGTATCAGCTGCTTGTGTGACAGTCAGACAGTGAATACTTTAGAGCCGTGTGAGCTAACCCGGAGCTAACGGGAGAATACACTCCCGTTGAAGAGCAGCCGGCCAGCACTGCAGCGGTCGGTAAATGCCGCTGAAACACATTAATAAACAATGAACCACGGCACTCTGGAGAAAAGTATAAGGTTGGAGAAGTCGTTATTTAATTTAATCTGGCTTCGTATGA